AGCTGCAAGTCTAACTGCTGTACCCTCGCTCCAGGTGCTGAGCCCCTTTCAAGTGCTGTCCTCAAGCAGCACTTGCAGGTGTGCGCACGCTCATCTACACAAGGTGGCCTGGTGCCCAAAGGATCCTATCCTGTCCTGTCACTTGTTCTGGTGCAACATGTGCAGCCTGTCTTCTTTTTCTGGTTTGGGTTGTTTGGTTTTTTTTAACTTACATCTCTTAATTTAAGAGCATTAGCAAAGGTTTGGGAAGGTGTTGAACCTACTTGAAGCACAGTCAGAACAGTCTATTCTCAGGAGAAAAATGTGAAAGAGAAATAAATGTACCTTAGATTTCTGTACCTTGGTCTGAATAGTTCCTCCAAGTCCTGCAATTTTGTCAAAGTGAAGAACCTGCAATTGAAAGTAGCAATGGAAGAAATTAAGTAGGTGAAGTCCACTGAGAGCCACTGATGTTTGTGTTGAAACTATAGGTTTGGACTAACCAGGTCTGATTAGCACATAGATGAACTGAGAAGTTTCATGTGAGCTTTAAATCGTCTTTTTTACTTCATGTGCCACACTGAAAATTTGTGACTGAGATTCTCAGCTTAGATCCCTTCTTTTCCAGTTAATGGTATTCAGTCTATAAACCAGCTACAACCTTACTGTATTGTATTTATAACTGTGAATCTTGTTTTCTGAATATTTCATCTTTTGCATATTGCAAGTTGTTCTTTCTACCTGGAAGGAATCAGGTCTGTGAGATAATATAAGCTGAAGCAAGAGACCTGCCTTAACCATTCTTCAGGACTGCTCTTTCTTAACGGAAATCAAAGGCTGTTCTTGCCCTTCATGGTGAAAAGCAATTGTAAGTGAAAACTCAGCTCCAGATCTAAACCTCACGGTTTAGAATGCCATTCTTTTTCTAGGCAGGTTTGAATCCAGTGCCAAAATATGACTATGTGACTTTCTCCCCTCAGCTGGAGAAATTCCCAAAGATGTAAATGGGTAATCTGTTGCTGTGTTGGATGGGACCAAAAGGAGTTTGTATCCATTTATGTAACTTACCTTCTCCATCTGATACTCAGTGTTACCTCTTGCTCCCAGATAAACCATGGCCAAGGCTGCAATGATGCTCAGGGGAGAATAAAAGATGTTGTCGTTGGCATGGTGGACTTTCAGCTCTTTGAATACATCAAAACAAAATTCTGCATTTGCTGCACTGATGGAGCCCATTGTGAAATCAGTGTTGTCTGAAGCAAACAGAAATATGACTGTATAGTGATGATATGTAGCACTTGTTTTAAAAAGTACTGTCAGTAGCCCAGAAACCGCTAGTTCATTGCTGGTTTTGTGATGCTGAACCAAGGAATGATGTGAAGCCTACAAATTCTGTGATCATTAGAAATATTATAACGCCTGACCCATTTATCTCTGAATGCGTGTTTGGTTTCTTTCAGCAAGATACTAACTCATCATCAAGATGGTATCTTGTACTTGCCTTTTAGGAAATAGATAGTTTCATCCATGCTTCAATATGATAAATATAACACTGAATGGGTGAGTTTCTCTATGGCCATCCAGAGGACTCTGACTGATGTTTGGGCCAATGCAAACTTCATATTTCATTTCTTCTGTGGCTGCTCTGGACCATGTTCTGGATCTTTAAATCAAATCTAGTCAACTCACTATACTCTTAGTGTACTTCTTGCTGTTGCTTAGTACAACCAGCCACAGATTTGGAGGTTGCTCTCTAGTAGTTTATAGGAATAATGGGAGTAAGTTGCTCTGTAAACCCAACCAGTTGCTTAGATGCTGAACCCAACCAGATACTTAGATTTACGGGGGTTCTTTCCTGTAGTCCCATTTTGGACACTTAATCTCTGCTGATGCTTTTTTGTTGAGAAAAAGCACAAGCATATGTATCATAAATACGGGTTTTGCCGGTACAGCTTGAAATAGTGGAGAGCTGCATTCAGTCAGTCAGGTGCAAGTCCTGTACAGGCAAATTAATGTGACATGTTAAGGATATTTATTGAAACCTGCAGTAATTCTCTCTTTTGAATCTGAGACCAAGAAAGTTGCATACTGTTCTTGTATCTCTAAAACAGTTGAAGTTGGAGGAATAGCAGCATATCCATAGTTTGGAGCAGATCTGGTTGATTATGCGACCTGAGAGGCATCTGGTGCTAATGACTGTGGAACCACAGACTCTGTGAATCATCATACTGTACATCACCTATGTTCTTCAGGGACTGAGGCTGAGAAAAGAGAAATGCCTTTATTCCCAAAATAATTACTAACATTTTAAAAGAACAAGTTTTAATGTGACACCAGATTTTCAATGAAAAAGAGGTATTTCTGTTCAAAGATATGGTGTGCAAACATTCATATTTTGCACACCTAAAAGTATTTGGCAGTCAGACAGTATAAGATATATTGATAAGGCAAGGTAAAATTATTATATATGCTGTCTTTTTACATATCTGTCTTATACTTACCTTAAAGTCCTTAAACATAATATAACGGTTTTTTTCCCATATTAAAGAATGCAAATCAGAAACTACATTTTACTTAGGAGAAATACTTACCCCACAAACTTCAAAGATGCACGTAATAATCCAGCTTGCCACGTGAACCCAAACAGATTCTCTGAGCTCTTGGTGATATATATTGTACCACTTGAGACACTCCCACTGTTAGCCTTCAAGGAGTCATCTTCTGAGTCACTACCTTTCATCATGACCTTTTGATTCATTGCACTTTGAAACATTGAGTAGACCAATGTTACACTGGTACTTTATCCGCAGCAAGTCTACCTTTATTTATTGTAGTAAAACCTAACAAAGAAACCTAGTTTTTTAAGCTTTTGCTGTAACTTATAAGACTGTTCCAAAACAATTGGAGTTCAAATCTAGAATTATGTTTCATGCAGTTCTTTTGAACCTACACATTAATGTGATTGAGTCATATTAGGTAACTAGAGTCAAGTGAAAAACAAACACAAAAAGCTGAGGAAAACCAATGTTGAAACTACATCCAGTGAAACATAATACATTTTTAATAAAACTAGCTGTAACATCAGATCAGGTGATTGTCACAGTCAAGTGAAGCTACAGATCTCAAAATATTACAGGAAAATAAGACCTAGTCATAGTGCAGTGATCTGGGAGTGAGGAAACATTTCCCACCACAGTCCATTGTTAGTGAGCATCCACAGATAGAGGTGAGGAAAGAGTCTTGTATTACCAGGGAGTGCAAAAAAGTGCATCAGTCCCTGGAAACCTAGCTGTTTCTCTTCTTCTCACCTATGAGGCACTGTAAGTACAGAAAGCACTATAACACAGTATTCCCACCAAGCCTGAAGGCAAAAGTGGATACAGGGCTAACTGCTGAAGTTTTGATAAATATGCAACCACTCACTACAGCGTCTGTGCAGTAGAACAGAGGGAAGTTCCTCATGGACAGTGACCACCTGATGTTGCCAAAATAATGCAATTCCAAGCAGAGCCAGCTGGAGGGTAGTCGTTCTATTTGGAGGATTTTGAAATGGATTTTTTCCATGTAAGAACAAACCCAAAATTTTCTGTTTATTTTTCAAGACCAAAATAGTACTGCAAGTTGTTATGGTCTGCCAAAAAGTAGAAGTATGTTCCTGGAGACCAAGGACTGGTGTGGTTTATAGCTTGTACTTGTTAAAACACAGCCACATCTATTTCTGTACCTATGTGAAACCGAAGTTTTTTACCTGAGGTCAAATTATAGGGTCTGCAGCATATATGTGGAGGAGGGGAGAAGGGCTCTGAGGAGAAAGCATGTTTTGCTAAAACTTCATTTCAGTGAAAACATTTGGAGCAGCAGTGTTGAGATGAATTAGAGGTCTGAGGGTGGGCATGGCAGAGGAAAAGATTTGAGGAACAGTCAGGAATTACATATTTGCTGGGCTGTAAGTCTGACCCCAGAGTATTCAGATATTCAGAAATGGATTTTAACCAGCCAGTAGGATTTAAAGGATGATTGAGGGTCAGTTTTAATTTTCATTCTCCGCAGGTCATGGCAACAAGGCCCATGGTACATGCACAGGCCATTCTCATAGATCTTCCATACCTACCTTTTTACTATGGCAGGTGAATAAACCACAGAATCTGTCTGCAGGAACATTCATGGTCTGTTAGACAATCATAATGCACAATATCAAATATAATTCAGTTGTAAAAAGCTATTACTCTTTATTGAATAATAGACTTGATGAGCAGTAAAGAAACAAATCTGGCATCCGTAAAGGCCATAGGGGTGGATAATAGAAATCCCAAATTTGTACATATTAAATCACAGAGCATACAGCAGTAGGTGCACCCTCTGTGAATGGGAGAGAGCTACTTTACCCTTAACAGTGTGTTTTGTTTTGCTGAAGTGCAGGCATGTACGTGCAGAGCCTGATAATTGGGGTGGCTTTTAGCTTCCCAACTCAGAATGACCTTTTCGTCTCAGGATGTTATAGCAGTGATGAGAATGGGAAAATCGAAAGACAGTAAGCAGCTTCCCTCTCACCTTGTTCAATGTTCCTTATCCTGTGAGCTGGGCTGCTGTAGCATTTACTTTATCCTATCAAACCATTACTGCCCAAGAGCACAGGTTTTGTGTGGAAAGAGCTCTAGTGTGTCTTCTCTTATTCTCCCATTTTCACATATTCACATTAGACTTCCAGCTACTGGCCATCAGTTTCTCAAACATGCCTTTGGGGCTTCCATGAAGAGCTTTCCTGGGCAGCCACACTCCTTTGTACGCTCTGGTTCAATGTGTTTGTCCTGTGTGGGTATCTGTGAAGCATGCACCTGAAGGACAAAAACGACCCTGCGCAGATGGCCATCTCTTTGCCTAATGTCCAAGGTTTTCTCAACAAACATTTTGTTGCACCAACTCCTCTAGAAGAGGGCATGTAGGTGGTTCTGGTATGTTCTCCCAGCCAATATATTTGCCTTCTTTGTACACTCTACATATCATACCTCTGCACCAGCAAGATCACCACAACAGTTCACCACGCAAGTAAGCTGGTTGAATGTCTGATAACTGCTCAGTTTCTGAATTATGCTAGCTACCCTGATGTGACAAATTACTTTGTCAAGGCAGGCAAGATAGTTTAAAATACCCAAAGTAAATGAACCCATGGAAGGGAAGAAGTCTGGTTCTGCCACTAATCATGGATGGGGCAGTATAACTTCTCCAGAGAGTAGTCTGTCACTACACACCCTTGGGTTTGTTTTGTATTTTTTTCTACACTGAATGTTAGTGCAAAAGTGGTTGCAGAAGCAGCCTGTGAGTAGCTGAAAATTTTTATCAGAACGGGCTATCCATGTGCAGTCATCAGCAGAAAAATGCTCTTTTGTAACTTTAAATAGGGCATTGGACCTGGGGAAATCAGATGCTACTCCTGAAATTCAAAAGCTAAGTAGCGTAGCACTGAAAAGCAAGACAAACAGGTTAAATTCTGTTCCATATCCATGTTTGTCCCAGGAAAGAGGTCAGCAAGGACTCTGCTGCCCTTTATCTGCCAGGTCCATTGTGGAGCTGTTCCTAAACTAATTCATGGGGTTTGCCATTCTTCCCCAATGTTGGCATAATCAAGGAAATACTAAGCAGCAAAGCTCTTTCCAACATTTCTCTGTTCAGATTTTCACATTTCATTCTTATGGTTGCTCAGCAACTAGTTTGCAGTGTTTGGGAGTAATGTTTGCTTATGCTTTGGATGCCCTGTTTATCTGCATCACATTTATCAGAGACTATACCGGCATCTCACAGTGAACTGAGATGCAGCCAGAGAGGTCCCATTTACAGGATTTCAGGTGCTTTTTATTCAGTCATGGTATTTGCTGTGCTGGAGATGATCAGCTCTGTGTGGTGTGCATGCAGTCTGAGGCAGACTGTCACTGGTATTAGTGCTAGCACTTTTAAGACAACTACCAACCTCTCGGAGAGTCAGTGTGTCAGGCCTGGGGTAAAGTTAATGCCTAACATGTCCTTTCCCCTTCAGAGCTCATAGTAGCTAGTACGTCAATGTGTATTGTGTTTGCACAGCAACTCAAGGTAAAAGGAGGCCAAGCACATCCACCAGTCCTCTATGCCCCTTGATTGCTGGTTGGCTCTAGCAAGAACTCTATTTTTTATAATAAAGCAGCAGTAAAATGGTGACTTTTTTCTGCTGCACATGCTTGCCAAAAGAAAGAAAAAGGCTTGCCCAATTTCCACTCCTCAGGTAGCTGGATCTCACCCACTGCAACTGTGTCATGCTTGTGGTGCACTCTGGCAAGCGGTGCTGCTCTTTGCCTGGTGCACGCAGCTGCTGAGTAGCTCATCTGTGTAGCCTCTGAAGGGACCTAAGTTTATCAATGCTTCCTTCTTTTTCTTTATAGTATTGGCTCAAATAAATGGCATTTGAAGTGATACCTTACAGAGTCTGAGTGCTTTTCTTACTGGCATCATAAGGAAGCAGGGGTTCATGGTATAAAACCTTCTACCAGTTACAGTTTGAAGGAAATAAGCACACATATGGGAAAAAAGTATTACTCAGAACCGC